CTGTTTTAAATTTTTTTTTTTCAACGTTTATTTATTTTTGGGACAGAGAGAGACAGAGCATGAACGGGGGAGGGGCAGAGGGAGAGGGAGACACAGAATCGGAAACAGGCTCCAAGCTCTGAGCCATCAGCCCGGAGCCCGACGCGGGGCTCGAACTCACGGACCGCGAGATCGTGACCTGGCTGAAGTCGGACGCCCAACCGACTGCGCCACCCAGGCGCCCCTACACCCTAAACATTTTAAAGCGTTACGTTTTTACGTATTAAAAAGATGTTACGTTCTTATTTGAGAACGAAAAGCATGAGAACGACGGCTTGTCAAATAGAAGATATCAGCAAAGAGAATTTGTGACTTGGAAAGTACAGTTGCTGATGCGCTAAATCCACCCAAGTGTCTCCACAGTTGATTTGAAATGGCAGCAAGGGGCGCATGGGTGGCGCAGTCGGTTAAGCGTCCGACTTCAGCCAGGTCACGATCTCGCGGTCCGGGAGTTCGAGCCCCACGTCAGGCTCTGGGCTGATGGCTCAGAGCCTGGAGCCTGTTTCCGATTCTGTGTCTCCCTCTCTCTCTGCCCCTCCCCCGTTCATGCTCTGTCTCTCTCTGTCCCAAAAATAAATAAACGTTGAAATGGCAGCAAAAAAAGAATTCTCGAACGTGAAGATAGGGCCATAGAGATTATGACGCCCAAAGGGCAGGAAGAAAAAACACTACTGAATTCTCCAAGACAGCGTAACACCTTTGATGTGCAGAAAGTAGCCTTTTCAGACTGGCTTCTTTTATGTAATAATTTACATTTATGGCTCAACCATGTCTGTCCTCTCTTGATAGCTCGTTTTTGTTTTTTGTTTTTTTTTTTTCTTTTCTTCTTTTTTAAGGTAATGGTCCATCCAGACAATGGACTTTTTATTTATCCATGCACCCACTGACGGATATTTGGGCAATGATGAAGAAACTGCTATGAACATCTGTGTGCACATAAGTTTTCAACTCATTTGGGTAAATACCAAGAAGCATGAGGGTCCCCATGTTTTCTCTTCAATTCCTCTCTGGCATATTGTGCATTTGCTATGTATGTGTTTTATAATAGCAGGTGGGGGCGCCTGGGTGGCTCAATCGGTTAAGTGTCTGACTTCGGCTCAGGTCATGATCTCATGGTTCGTGAGTTCGAGCCCCACGTTGGGCTCTGTGCTGACAGCTCAGAGCCTGGAGCCTGCTTCGGATTCTGTGTCTTCCTCTCTCTGCCCTTCCCCCACTTGTGCTCTGTCTCCGTCTGTCTCTCTCTCTCTCAAAAATGAATAAACACTTAAAAAATATATAATATAACATAATAGCAGAGTGTATTTATGTGCCCCTCCCTCACCCACCACAGCAGGAGACCCTTAAAGACCTTGTCTTAACCCCTGCTGTCTTCCTGGCACAGAACAGGTCTTCACAAACATTACCCGAAGGAATCAATAAGCCTGTAAAAGTAAATGCCTTTCTGAGCTTACCACTGACTTAGCCCCCCGCCCTCCATCGCTACCCACCCTGCCCACATTTCGAGTAATTTCTTTTCCCTGTGAACCCATGGTTGCATCTGAAGTGAAGCAGAATGTTACTTTCCAAAATGGAAGGATTGCACCACATTGCACTTGCTTGAGTTTAACTCACAGTGACTTTCATTAACTCTTTTTTTTTTTTTTAATTTTTTTTCAACGTTTATTTATTTTATTTTTGGGACAGAGAGAGACAGAGCATGAACGGGGGAGGGGCAGAGAGAGAGGGAGACACAGAATCAGAAACAGGCTCCAGGCTCTGAGCCATCAGCCCAGAGCCCGACGCGGGGCTCGAACTCACGGACCGCGAGATCGTGACCTGGCTGAAGTCGGACGCTTAACCGACTGCGCCACCCAGGCGCCCCACATTAACTCTTTTAATCAAAATTCAGGACTACACAAGCCGCGCGCTGACCTTCAGTACCTTTCACAGGACAATCCCAAGCCATTCGCTGTGAGGTCTCACAAGTGACACGTCCTGACAGGCATTGCAACCCACGCAGTAGGTTTATTTTATTTACAGACGTGGGGATCGAAGTTCAATGCCACTTCAGGGCACTGCTGACGAAAAGAATTTTCACAAAGTACACCTTTAAACAGTGTTGGCTGTCAGCTGTTGGAAGTATCTCAGCAAAATACCGCTTGGTGACTTTAAAGACAGCGGTTACCCACCTGCTCCCCCCAAAGAGCCTGGAGAAACAGCTTCTGGGGCCCATTGAGGAAAAAGTGGGATCAGGATCAATACACGCTTACTGTGACGTACTGAATGGAGAACTTTCTCCCTTTGAACTTTGCGTAATAAAGTCATCTTGCTCACGTTGGAGATCGCTTGTTCGGCCACAATGGCCTTTCAGGATCTCCTGGATCAAGTTGGAGGCCGGGGGAGATTCCACATCCTTCAGATGGTTTTCTACAGCATCTTCAACCTCATAGTGTACCCTCACATTTTATTGGAGAGCTTCACTGCAATCGTCCCTGGTCACCGCTGCTGGGTCCACATCCTCGACAATGACACAGTCTCTGCTAACAGCACTGGGATCCTCAACCAAGATGCCCTCCTGAGAATCTCCATTCCACTGGACTCAAACCTGAGGCCAGACAAGTGTCATCGCTTCCTCCACCTGCAATGGGGGCTCCTTCACCTGAATGGGACCTTCCCTAACACAAATGAGCTGGACACAGAACCCTGTGTGGACGGCTGGGTGTATGACCAGAGCTCCTTTCCCTCCACCATCGTGACGGAGGTAAGAGGCCCCATTTACCTCTTGCGAGTACGAGGTCCGGGTGTTTAGAGGTAATAGCACAAACAACGAACATGCTCCAAGTTCTTGAATCACTGTTTGGGTGCTCGTTCTTTATTATTTCAGCAAATAGTAGTTACGTCTTTCTTAGATACCACCAATCTGCATATTTTATGAGTCTCATGAGCTAAAAAGTAGACGTGACCTTGAGATTCTACGGCTTTTATTCTTAGGAAGACCAAAGGTTAAACACATAGTTTGTGTAATGTGTTAAAGGTGTTGTTTGCAAATGAGACACATCTGGGGATATTGATCAAAACTTCCCAAAGCACTGACTGTGTCTCCGGCCAGCCTTAGGAGATTGGTAGTGAAACTCTGCCATCGGTAAACGTTTAAAGCTCTTCAAAGGATTGCATTCTGTGGCCCAGGCTGAGAACCGCTTCATATGAAATAAAACAAGGCATGAATATAGCCAACAGGTTTAGATGAGTCTTCCTACAGGAAGCTGTATTTAAGCTGATACCTGAATGATAACGGTCAGCTAATGCAAAAAACAAATGGAAATTGGAAGAAGGGGGGCTGATATACAGAAGCTTGTAAATCATCTCAGTTGTTTCTTTAAAAAAAAATTTTTTTTTTAATCTTTATTTATTTTTGAGAGAGAGACAGAGTGTGAGCAGGGGAAGAGCAGAGAGAGGGAGACACAGAATCTGAAGCAGGCTCCAGGCCCCGAGCTGTCAGCACAGAGCCCGATGTGGGGCTCGAACTCACAAACCGTGAGATCGTGACCTGAGCCAAAGTTAGACGCTCAACCGACTGAGCCACCCAGGCGCCCTATATCTTAGCTGTTTCAATCAGGTTTCCATGAGGGGTTATAGGCTGCTATCGAGTGCTCCTTTGCTGGTTTCCTTCTCTTCCAGTGGGACCTGGTGTGTGAATCTCAGTCACTGAAATCAGTGACCAAATTCTTTTTCATGGCTGGCATGTTGGTGGGAAACGTCATATTTGGCCATTTATCAGACAGGTGAGTGTCTCTGGATCACTGGGATATTTTCTCGGGGGTATTTTCATGAACGAACATACCATTCTTCCATTAAGCAACACTTGTTGTTACTTACACTGTCCTGGGGTTTCCTTAGTCCTGAGGGGTCTAGAAATACATGGGGAATCACAGTCAGTATAGCAAATGCTATTTTGTCAGCTGTGAGCTCAGTGTACAGGACACAGAAACAGCAGCTCCAGCAGACATGGGGACATTTTAGGACAGGGTTTAGGAAGGAGGTGACACAACATGTGGTTTAGGAAGGTGAGAAAAAGTTAGCCGTGGGAACAGAGGAAGGACATAAGATCCAGCCTGTCTGAAGGCACACATATGTAAAACAGTGTTGCAGATTTTGGCCTGGGAGGCCGTATTCAGTCCCTCCTGGACCCTGTGAACTGAGCGCTTATGGACTTCCAGAGCATGGTCATCATGTCCCTGTTTCCCAAGTGTGATGGGCAGGCATTCCCATTAAACTTGGAGTGTCCACAGCAATGTGTTTTGATGGTGTATAGAAAAAACCTTTTCCAGTAACCTCGATTGATATTTTTGTTGCCAAAAATAAAGCACTTTAAAGGTAAGTTTTCAACCATGTCTGACTTTGGCTCAGGTTGTGATCTCATGGTTCATGAGTTCGAGCCCCACATCGGGCTCTGTGTTGACAGCTCGGAGCCTGGAGCCTGCTCCGGATTCTGTGTCTCCCTCTCTCTCTGCCCTCCTACTCATTCTCTCTCTCTCTCTCTCTTTCTCTCTCTCAAAAATAAATCAACATTAAAAAAATCAACCATGTAATTAATCTAATGACAACTGCCATTACCATTTGCGTGGGTGTATCCTATGCCTGACGGTACATCTCCTGAATTACACAGCCAAACATTGCCAGCACTGAGCACCTCTCCTCTGAGGATTATGGGGAATTAAGTTTCCCTTTACCACCTACCAGCATAATGTTATCTGTTAGGGCAGCTCAAAACTGGGAACTCTGAATGTATGACAGTAAATGTAGCTTATAAAAGTGTTCAGAGTCAGCGGGCCCATGTCTAACAGTTCTGTAACGCAGAGCCACCCACGTACAGGAATAAAAATAAAACCACATATCTGTGGCTGATTCACTTTTTGAAAAGGGTGCCAAGATCATGCAGTTGGTGAAATATAGCCCCTTCAACAAAAGGGGCTGTAATGACTGGATACCCACATGCAAAATAATAAAGTGTGATCCTTACCTAAAGCCATAACAAATGTTAACACAAAATGGACTAGTGACTTAAAGATAAGAGCTAAAACCATAAAACTCTTAAAAGAAGACATTAGGGTAAATCTACATGACTTTGGGTTTGGCAATGGATTCTTTCGTATGTCACCAAAAACCTGAGTGGCCAAAAACTAGACAGATAGATCAGACTTCATCAAGAATTAAAAACTTTCGGGGGGTACCTGGGTGGCTCAGTCGGCTAAGCGTATGACTTCGGCTCAGGTCATGATCTCCGGTTCGTGGGTTCGAGCCCTGCATCAGGCTCTCTGCTGACATCTCGGAACCTCATGCCTGCTTCATATTCTGTGTCTCCCTCTCTCTCTCTCTGCCCCGCCCCTCCTTGCTCTCTCTCTTTCTCTTTCTCTCAAAAATAAACATTAAAATTTTTGTTAAAAATTAAAAACTTATGTACATCAAAGCACATTATCAAGAAAGTGAAATGATAACCTATGTAATGGGAGAAAATATTTGTCAATTATATATAAGCCATAAAAATAGGCAAATAGACCAATGGAATGGGTTTAACATTCAGAATACATGAAGAACTCCCACAACTCAACAACAAAAAAATAAACCAAAAAATTTTTTTTCAATGAATAAAGGACTTGAATATACATTTCTTTAAGAAAGATGTACAAATGGTACATAAACACATGAAAAGATGCTTGACATCATGATATTTAAAAAATGTAAGCCAGGGGAGCCTGGGTGGCTTAGTCGGTTGAGCATCCAACTCTTTTTTTTTAAATGCATTTTATTTTATTTTTTCAAATTTTTTAAACATTTATTCATCTTTGAGAGGCAGAGAGAGACAGACAGAGCATGATTGGGGGAGGAGCAGAGAGAGAGAGGGAGACACAGAATCTGAAGCAGGCTCCGTGCTCTGAGCTGTCAGCACAAAGCCCAATGCGGGACTCGAACTCACTGACTGTGAGATCATGACCTGACTCGAAGTCAGATCCTTAACTGACTGAGCCACCCAGGTGCCCCGAGCATCCAACTCTTGATTTGCGCTCAGGTCATGATCTCACAGTCTTGGGATCAAGCCCCACGTTGGGCTCTGGGCTGAGCATGGAGCCTGCTTGAGATATTCTCTCTCTCTCTCTCTCTCTTGCTCTCATAAGTGAAGGGGAAAAAATTAAGCATACTCTTGTCACACAATTCAGCAGTCGTGCTCCTTGGTATTTACCCAAAGGAATTGGAAACTTCTGTCCACACAAAAGTCTACCTACGGTTATAGCAGCTTTCTCTGTAATTTCCAAACCTTGGAAGCAACCAACGTTTCTTTCAGTAGGTGAATGCATACACGCTGTTGTACATCTGGACGATGGAATATTATTCAGTGCTAAAAGTGAAAAAACCATGGAGATAGTAAAAAGATGAGGGGTTGGAAGGAGAGAGAGAGAAATTAATAAGCACATCACAGAGGCTTTAGGGCAGTGAAACTACTCTGCAGGCTGCTGTAATGGTGGGTACCTGTCAATACACATGTGTCAAAAACCACAGAATGTACAACACGAAGAGTGGACCCCAATGTAAACAGGGGACTTTGGGGGATAATGATGTATCGTTGTAGGTTCAATTGTATCAACTGTTTCACTTGGTGCAGGATATTGATAGGTGGGGACATTGTGCATGAGTGGGGGCAGGACGTATGGGAAATCTCTGTACTTTCTGCTCAGTATTGCAGTCAACTTAAAACTGGTCTAAAAAATAGAGTCTATTTTAAAACACACACACACAAAGTAGTTTAATAGAACAAAGAAAAAATAGGAACATGCGGTTCATAAAGCCTAAAATAATAGTTATCTGGCTCTCTACAGGAACTATTTGCTGCTTTGTGCTGTAATAGCACTCTGAGGCCTTTTGTTCGCGTTCTTAAATCATTTCTCTCTGCCCTTGACCTTCTACAGCCTCTACTGATCCGTCTTCAAAGAGTCTCTCTTGTGTCAATATAATCGTTAAGCCCATCTAGTGAATTTTTATATCAGAAGCTACTTTTTCAGCTCTCGAATTTCAATTATTTTTGGCTTATCTGTTGCCGTCTCTCTGAGAATGCTGATTTCTGAGCTGTGATTTTCATATGTTAAAATCATATTTTATTTCTGTCTTAGAGGATAGTTATGTCACCACTTTAAAATCCTTGTGGGGGGGCGCCTGGGTGGCGCAGTCGGTTAAGCGTCCGACTTCAGCCAGGTCACGATCTCGCGGTCCGTGAGTTCGAGCCCCGCGTTGGGCTCTGGGCTGATGGCTCAGAGCCTGGAGCCTGCTTCCGATTCTGTGTCTCCGTCTCTCTCTGCCCCTCCCCCGTTCATGCTCTGTCTCTGTCTGTCCCAAAAATAAAAATAAAGTTTAAAAAAATAAAATAAAATAAAATCCTTGTGGGTTAGTTCCAAACTTTGTCTCCTCTTAGCAGAAGGTCCACCAGATCTCCACTCTATTGGGAATGGATTTCCATTTTCTTGGTTCTTCCCATGCCAGGATACTATGAATTATATCTTGAATATGATAATATTAAGCTTGAAGATTCTATTTGCCATTGTTACTCACCAGTAACACTGATTCCATTTATTTATTAATTTAAATTTTTTTTAGTGTTTATTTTTGAGACAGAGACAGAGTATGAGCGGGGCGGGGAGAGAGGCAGAGAGACAGGGAGACACAGAATCCAAAGCAGGCTCTAGGCTCTGAGCGGTCGGCACAGAGCCCGACGTGGGGCTCAAACTCATGAACCACGAGAGTGTGACCTGAGCCGAAGTCGGAAGCTTAACCGACTGAGCCACCCAGGTGCCCCCGATTCCTTTATTTCAGCAAATAACTTTCAAGCCTCAGATTTTGAACTCAAGACTGTTTCTTACACAACAGCTCCAACCTCAGTTCAGAAATTTGTCTAGAGTTGACCTTCTTTGAGCTTATTCTTTACATGCATGCTTTAGTGGCTATTTAGGGGATGCGTGGTAGACATGATTTAAGGATTCCCTCTTTGCCACTTTCCCTTGCTGGAACTCTCACTCTCTTCATTGTTTCTAGTACCCCACCATCGGTGGCCTTGTTCCCCAGACCACAAGATGCATGGCGTTCACTTTGCTTACTGTGTGGATTGCACCTTACTCCAGTCTAATAGCCATGGAAATAGGACCCTCCCTGTATCGTTCTCCATCGCCCTCCTTGGAGGGAGCAAACACTCCTCCCCACAGTCCACCTGCTTCTGTTCACTCTCTAGTAAGCTCAGGTAGTTCCTTTTTGTGTTCTGTTCATGTGTCTTTTCTGGGGGAGTGGAAGGCAAGCAGTAGAATTTAAGGCTTTTATTCCTGGAACCTGAAATGTATCCATCAGAGGCTTTTAAGAGGATTATTATGACAGGGTCTTTTAAATCTTATTCTTTTTTTTTTTTTTTTTTTTTGACGCTTATTTATTATTGAGAGACAGAGAGGGACTGAGCATGAGCAGGGGAGGGGCAGAGAGAAAGGGAGACACAGGATCTGAAGCAGGCTCCAGGCTCCAAGCTGTCAGCACAGAGCCCGATGCAGGGCTCGAAACCACAAACCGCGAGATCATGACCTGAGCCGAAGCTGGACACTTAACCGACTGAGCCACCCAGGCGCCCCTTTTAAATCTTATTCTTGATGCTTGATGCTCCTTTGATAATTCACTGGGAGAGCCAGAGTGGTGGTAGGGAGACCGTTTAAGAGGCTCTCAAAATAATCCTTAGGAAAGATGGTGGGCATTTAAA